CACCTGCGTCGCCGCCGGGACAGCCGCCGCTGCCGCCGCCACCACCTCCGCCGCCACCGCCACCGCCTCAGCCTCCGGTGCCACCGCCGACAACGTCGCCAAGGATGAAGGAGAAGTCGAAGAATGCGGCTCGAACCCGCCGGGAAAAGGAGAACACCGAATTCTACGAGTTGGCCAAACTGCTCCCGTTGCCCAGCGCCATCACAAACCAACTCGACAAGGCCTCCATCATCCGCTTGACGACAAGCTACCTGAAGATTAGAGCCATCTTCCCGGATGGTAAGTCAATTACTTTGTGGTTTATCTTGACCCTTGCCTAAATGCCTGTCCTCGAAGAGGATAGACGAGGTCGGAGGACTTCTGGGCAATGTCCTAGCAACAATGCCTCTTCAGGAAGGTCTTTTTTCAGCTTGTTCAACTGAAGGGACGGAAGGACAGCCATTTAGCGAGTAAACAGTGTCAAACTCATGATCGAGGTCATGTCGAATGTTCACTAAAAGGGCCGAATGCATGCATGTTTGGCGAGAAGAGACCAACTGTGAGATGGGGCGGCCAAAATGTGGTAAAGGTGCAGCAAAATTATCACATTTACTCCCGAAAGCCCGTCGAAAGTATGATCATCATACAAAAGGTATTCAAACGGAGCATAGGAAATGTAGTCATCTAATCTCGTGGTCAAAGTGCTCCGGATAAAAGATACAAAGCAAAACTGTGTTTTAATAAATCTCCTGCACATAAATAGTGTGTGTGTGTGTGTGTTTGTGTGCATGTGAATGATGCGTAGATTTGTGGATGGATGGAAGGCTGATCCCATTTGTTATACAACCTCTCCTCATTCGGTTCGCATGTAAAGGGGTTAAGCTTTTTTGAGTGGGTTTCGAAGAATTTCTTAGTTGATTGATTCTGGCTTCCGTCAGTCTAACGACAGACACCGTCAAACCTGGAAATCATAATTGTAAGAGCTTTACGTTAACTCTTGATGAAAAATACTAGTGGGCTAAACCTTATGTGAGATTATATATTTATATAATATTATATTGCATATATATATATATATTGCAAGTTGAAATGCGCTGATCGTCAAAATGGACCAAGCAATCTCCAAAATCGTGAAAAGTATCCCTCTCGAAGCTGACTGCAAGATCAGGAGACACTTTAAAAAAAGTTGACGAATTTGTATAGATCGAGAAATAATTAAAGTAGTGTGGCTTAGTCGTACGAATTACAAGATTGACTGGAAATGCTGCAAGTCTTCAGTCTGTTGCTAACAAAAGACTCCGGAAGAGGTGACTTTATAAGCACGACCGAAACGACCTGCCCAACTTGTCTTAATACCGATCCGATAGGAAGTGAATCACCTTCTGGAAAGCTTTTGTTGTTGTCCTACCGGACACAAGATAACACCACAAACGAGGCCTGTCCTGTTGCGTCCGACGGAGTTCAGATAATCGCCAGCATCAGATCATGGAGTTGGTACATTTTCAGACGTTTTGAGGTCAACCCACTTCTATACATCGAAAGGAGACTGCGAACATACCGGGGCAACACCATCTTGGTCTTCATAGCTTTGCATTTTTTGTTGAATATTAGCTTTCCATCACTTCACCTTGAAATAGAAAGTAAACAAACCATTCATCAGCGCCGCATTCAGGAAGCGAATTGCACTAGTTCATGCCAAGTCGAGAGTACAATCCAGTGCAGCCGGAATGAGAAAACCTGCGGCCTATAGCGAGTCAGCTCTTGGTCAAGATCAACTTATATTTTCTAAACCTACTCAATTCAAATATAAGTAGTAAGGAAAATACAATGATATAGCAAGACTGTCTCATCTAATTGGGAAGAATGTTATCATCTCGTTTTCATCCTCTTAAGCAGCTTAGGGCGATTCGGTTCTTAGTCAAGATCAACTTATATTTTCTAGACTTACTCAATTCGAATATAAGTAGTGGGGAAAATACAATGATATAGCAAGACTGTCTCATCTAATTGGGAATAATGTTATCATCTCTCTTTCATCCTATCGAGCGGCCTAGGGCGATTCGGTTCTCAGTCAAGATCAACTTATATTTTCTAGGCCTACTCAATTCGAATATAAGTAGTGAGGAAAATACAATGATATAGCAAGACTGACTCATCTAATTGGGA